GCTATATTGGGAGTTGCTGCCTTGATATACCAAAGGCAAATCTCCCATTTTTAAATACAATTATATTTACTAACATATAACAATTTTCTATGTTGTTTTCATTATTCCTACCTATATTCTTAATACAATAGTCATATAATTTCTCTGAATCCAAAGTCTAGTGCTCAATATAGATAACTCTTTTGGAGACCCAGATCCAGTGCCTTTGTTTTCTAGAGAAAGAGGTAGAAAGCATTATGAAGTATTCACTACAATAGCAAGAGTGGCAGGAAATGTGGCAGTTAAGGGAAATGATAAATGTATATACTTGGCAACAAAAATTGGTTCATAAGGACAGTTTAAATAGGCTAAATGTACTTAACTTTTTCCAATGTATTTAATTTTCTCCAATGAAGATGCAAAATTCATGCAAAGTCACCCATTTACATAGGAATTCATCTTTCTCATTTGTGGAATAGAAAACTTTTGTTTGGTAACTAATTGTGCATGAAGGACTTATTTTACATCTATACAATAACCATTTTATCAATATCAGATATAGATTCTGAGAGTAAGGAACTTTCCGAAAGGACCACAACTAAATTTGTGAGTAAAAGTTGACTGAAGACTCAGTTTTTTTCCCTTCTAGCAATGTTAAATACTATCATTTTGAGAAGAACATCCTTTTTTAATTTGAATGATCATTTTTATCATATTTCTTATTTAATTTATTTTGTGCATTTTTACTTCAACTTAAAATAAATATTCAAGAATAAATTAAGTATTAAATGATTTTTATATTCAAATTTCCCAAGAGATTTATCCAATTTACTTCAAATTTTTTCTTATTTATTTATTCAATTGCTCAGTAGGTTATCTCTGCTCCTTGGAGCAACTCACAGTAGATTTTTGAATTAATTAGGCCTGCAATGGTTGCAGGTTGCACTATTGTATAGATCACAAATGTGTGCTGACTTTTTAGTCACCATTCCCCCAAACAATGCATCACACTGACTACTTACACAGTATTTACATTATTTTATATGCAAATATTATGCCATCTTATGGAAGGGAGTTGAGCATACACAGATTTTGCTGCTCATTAGAAGTCTTGGAAAATACTTCCTATGCAAACCAAAAGATACTTCTGTGCTGCTTAACATTGGTGTTCATTGTGCTGAGAAATTAGAATACAAGATAGAACAGAACAAGATAGAACACAAGATAGAACAGAAGATAATTGTGACTAAGCCATGTTAAGTGGGGAGCTAATTGCACAGTAGAAGAATTTCCATCAAGAACTCTGTCCTAAGGAACAGTCTCTGCTAAATCATCCGGGAGAATAAATGAGTGCCCTTGTAAAACAATGCCCAAGAGGTCCCAGAAACAGCATACAAATAGTAAGCCCACAAAGTGTTTGTGGCATTTTTCTATGACTGTCTTCTTAATTCATGCTGTGTTTTTTTCTTTTCCGATACCCCTTATTACCTGAAAAATTAGGAATTTTCAAGATAATTCTTAAATAATCCTCTGTATACAGTCATTTCTCCATTCTTCTCTGTAATTCCTTCATAATTCCTTTTTTTATTAAAGTATCTTTATCAAAATAAGGTAAGAAAGATGACACTTATTTTCCAAGTCATGCATTCTGTGGGGAGGTAAGAATGGGCACAAATGGCTGTGCCTAATGTATAAATGAAAAGTAGAAAGTATTTCTTTTCTGGAAACCTTTTTTAAGCTTTGGATATACCTAGCGAGGTGCCTGTATGAAAAATGAATTTCTCTGTAATTACTCTGTCTCTTACCTTCTCACTTAGGCCAGGCTTGGAGGCATTTATGTCTCAGTAAACACAGTATCTGATAGATGTGAAATACCTGAATGCAGTAGGAAGCCTTCATTCAATCATGTGAAAACTTTCTAAATATATTGACAAAATGTCATGAAGTGATTTGTTTATATTTTATCTTATTTTTATCTAGTTGTTTTATTTTTTATCTTGTTACATGAAAATAATATATTTATTCTTTAATAAGAATCTTACAACATAAAAACCGAAAAGGGCCTGAACATACACATAAAATACTGTGATGAGAATGAATTATGAGTCATATATACTGTAATGAAAATGTGACTGATACTACTGATGTATACAAAGGAGGAAGGGATAGTAGGAGAAAAACAAAGGAGGGGGGTAACGATGCTGGACAGGAAATGTACTCATTACCTTATGTAACTGGAACCCCTCTGTACAGCATCTGTACAATAAAATAAAAATTAAAAAATGGAAGAGTAAGAGTTTGGTACTTAGCAAAATGACTTTAAATATTTGTCAATCAATAGATTCCTGTGTAATAAAAATAAACCAATACTGAAGTAGAAGACTCAAAAAGAGGTGGATTCCAAGACCTAAAAATAATGAGATTTTGTGAGAACGACATGGGAAAGATGAGAGAGCTAAGGATAGACTTAGAAAGCTTAAATATACTTCATAGCAAATCACATGGGCACTTCTGCTGAGGTGTCTTGAGTTCCTGCATATGATACCAACAGACTAGATGAACCCAAATTGACATCATTTGTGCTAAATGCCACTTAATGAAACCAGCCAAACAGAGCTTTTTCTGAAAACAGTCATTTTAATCAACCCAATTGCTGTTATAATAAAGTCCTCTCTGCCTTAATCTTTCTAGAAAGCCACCCTAAGTACATAGTATTTTTCTTTTATATGGTTCTTTTCTTATGAATCTCACATTTCTGCTATTACCCATTAAAAATTTCATTCTCTTCTGTAGAATGGAGGTTTCCCTGGTTCAAGAATTAATTGAGTTTTTAGGTCTATAACTAAATTTGGCATAGTTTTGTCTTTTGACAGAGGTGATATTTCATAAGTAAAATAAAGTGTATAATATAAAAAGTTACCAAATAGTAAAAGTTAAATTGTTGAAGGAATAATTAACTATGTCAAACGTGAAGATTACAACACTGTTAAGTGAATGTTGAGCCATGGCTCCACTTCTGGTTATTTATGGCTTTATTGGAGATAAGAGTCTCATGGATTTTCCTGTCTCACTGGCTTCAAGCCATGATCCTCAAATCTCTGACTCCTGAGTAGCTAGGTTATAGGTGTGAGCCACCAGTGCCCAGCTTTATTTTGTATTTGAGACACAGCATCACTACTTTTTGCCTACTTAGACTTAAACTGTATCTTGCTGCCTCCACTTCTACAGTAGCCAAGATTGTAGGAATGTGCCATTATTCAAGATATACTAAATTGCTGTCTTAATTGCTCATCTAACTTCTGCATTATTCAAGTCAATTTTGCCCTTTCCAATGTATATTTTAGCTTAAAACAATAAGCATATAAAGTGAAATGTAAAATAAATTGTGAATTTGGATAAATGTCTGAACCAATTGAATCGGGAATTTGATTTTTCTCTCGACAAGGAGTTTAAAAAATGTGTTTAAGCTGGTAGCTTACAACTATAATCCTAGCTAGTCAGGAGGCCATGATATGAGAATCAACATTTGGAGCTAGCTTAGGGAAGACAAACCCTTGAGATTTTTATTTCCAAATAATCAACAAAAAGCCAGAAATAAGAGGTGTGGCTCAAGTGGTAGAGCATCAGTCATAAGGGAAAGAGCTAAGTAAGGGCATGAAGCCCTGAACAGGCTCCAGTACTGGCACAAAGTGTCTAACTCTACATAAATACCAGGACACTGATGACTACCCCAACCCAACATGCAAAAATGAATGACAATTCTACTAAGTAAAACAAAAGTTGGTACAAGATGATTACACTGAATAGAATTTAACATTGAACAATCAGATGACCTGGGCAGCTAGAAGTGACACAAAAAAACACAATACTTGATCCTGGAGGAAAACATGTCAGTGTAGCTTTACTCCTTTCAGGAAGCTGTTACAGGTCAACTGAGCATGGAGGTGCATGACTGTAGTTCTCTCTACTTGCTAGTTCAAAGGTTAAATAAAAGGACCATTTCAACTCATGAGTTCAATACCAGGATAGGTAGCACAGTGAGAACGTGTGTGTGTGTGTGTGTGTGTGTGTGTGTGTGTGTGTGTGTGTGTATGCACATGCATGTGTTTATGCCAGTACTGGGGCTTGAACTCAGAGCCCATTAGCTTTTGTTCCTCAAAGTTGACCTTCTACTACTTGAGCCACAGCTCTAGTTCAACATTTTGGTGGTTGATTGGAGATAAGCATTCCAGGGACTTTCCTGCCTGAGCTAGTTTCAAACAGATCCTGAGATCTCATCCTCCTGAGTAGCTAAGATGACAGGCATGAGCCATCACTCCTGGCTGACACTCTATCTTAACATCAAAAGTATTTAAGTGTCCTGCTGAGTTCCAACAGGAAAGAGATTATTTAACACCAAATGCATTTTATTCCCATGAAGATGATATAATTATCCACTGACTGATTGGTTCAGGACAGGCTTTCTTTTTTCTTATTGCTGTGGGCTTTTTACCTCATCTGGTATTGGTTTCTCAGTGCTTTGACTTTTCTAGATTTTTGTGTAATTCCTTGCAGCCTTGCTTCTGAAAGTGAGTCATAGGATTCATTGTCCCAGTCAGTATAACATCTTCTCAGATGAGTGCTTTGAGACAGAAATGATAATAAAAAACAAAACAAAAAAAACCCAAAAAACTTCCTTTTAGCATCTTCTTCAGCTGACTTTTGTCCAAGACCAATCTTGAAAACCATTAATATGAGTTACCAAAACATAGTCATTTCTATTTCCTACTGACATTCTTAAAATAAAGAGGAAGAAATTCAGTTTTGGGACAGTTATGTTACCTGTTAAAAGGATGCTGCCTTTCATTTATCGTGCCTTGAAGAAATGTAATTGTTGGGAACTAGACCTTTGTATTGTTTCTCCCATACTTTTAACATACTGTGTCTTCTATGACTGAGTGGTTAATGGATAATTACATTTTTACCAATCCTCATACTTTTACTCTTGTCTCCATTTTATTAGGTAATACAAATAGATGATAATGCCACGAATCAATGAAACATATCCTAAAGAGTTCATTCTACTCGGCTTTGCTAACCATCCTTGGCTGGAGCTTCCTCTATTCATTATTCTTCTGATCACATACCCCATGGCTATGATGGGAAATATCGCTATCATCCTGGTGTCCAGGTTAGATCCCCAGCTCCACAGCCCCATGTATTTCTTCCTTACCAACCTCTCCTTTTTGGACATGTGTTACACCACCAGCATCGTCCCTCAGATGCTATTCAACCTGGGGACTTCAATCAAGACAATCAGCTATGCTGGATGTGTAGTTCAGCTTTATTTCTTCAGCATAATGGGAGGTACAGAATGCCTGCTCTTGGCCCTTATGTCTTTTGACCGTTATGTGGCCATCTGCAGACCTCTGCACTATTCCCTCATCATGAACCAGCGCCTCTGCATCCTGTTGGTATCCTTCGTGTGGCTGGGTGGAATGACCTACGCTTTCTTAGAAGCCACTCTTACATTACAGTTGCCCCTGTGTGGTATCAATACACTGGATCATTTGTTGTGTGAGATTCCAGTTCTAATCAATACAGCCTGTGGTGAAAAAGAGGCTAATGAACTCATTCTTTCTGTGGTATGCATTTTTATGCTAGCTATTCCTCTGTGTTTAATCCTTTCTTCTTATGCTAGCATTGGACGTGCTATATTGAAGATAAAATCTTCTGAAGGAAGGAAAAAGGCTTTTGGGACATGCTCTTCTCATCTTATTGTAGTTTTGTTATTTTATGGTCCAGCCATTAGCATGTACATTCAGCCCCCCTCCTCCATCACAAGGGACCAGCCCAAGTTCATGGCTCTCTTCTATGGAGTGGTGACTCCTACCCTCAACCCCTTCATCTATACCCTGAGGAACAAGGATGTCAAAGGGGCCTTAAGCAGACTGGGAAGGAGCATTATCAGGTGCAAATAACAGCTTGCAGACATCAAATCATGCGATTTCACAATAAGATTTATGTGGATCTTTCTAACAACTTATTCTTGTCTTACAAGTCTCATGCTATATGTTCTTGAAACACATATCCTGTTCCTTGCATTCTTTAAAATAGCATTAGATATGGACCATACTCAGCTAATACTCATCAGTATATATACCCTGAAAAAGTATTAAAAAACTTTCCTTTTCTTTGCTACAAGTTGATATAGTAACAGTGTTAAGGAGTTTAATAATTGGCATTAAAATAACAAAATTCATTAGTTTTGTCTAATCATTGTAAAAATAGAATGGCAACCATTCACTAATGGCATTTCTATACTGACACTTTAGAAAGAATTCATTGCTTTGATGATTTGATTCATATTTCAGTAAAAGATCTTGGTGCATTGAGCATTCTTTGCAATGTATTCTTTGCTATTAAAGTGTACTGAATTTTATAAGCTTATTAACCTTAGTCCACATGAGTGCTATTGCTTTTTTCAGCATACTTTCTAATTATTAACATGCAAGTCTGCAATGTTTTGGATTTTATTACTTATCATTAAATGTTATAATTAACAGAATAAAGCAGTATGTTGAGATAACTTCCATCGATGTTGCTTTTTTCTTTTCTTTTTTATCTTTAAGTAATGGTACAAAGGAGCTGCCATTTCACAAAGCAGTTCATGAATACAATGCATCTTGATCAATGTCACCCCTTTCAACATTCTCACCCATTCCTTCCAACAACCCTTTCCCTTACTTTTCTTCTTTTTCCATTTTTTATCCTAATATTTTAAATTTTTTATTGTTATTGTGAAGGTGGTATACAGACAGGTTACAGTCATATAAATCAGGTAAGACTGCATTCCTTTTTTTTAAACTTAAAACTAAATGTAGTTTTTGCCTTTAAAATTTATTTTATTTTATTGTAAAGATGCTGTACAGAGGGGTTACAGTTACATGAGTAAGGCAATGAGTACATTACTTGTCGATCATTGTTACTCCCTCCCTTATTGTCCCACTATCCCTTCCCTCCCCCACCTCCCACACTCCTCCTCACCCCACCTCCGCCCAAAGTTGTAAAAGTTCGTTTCCAATACACTGTCTTGTGGGTATCATTGTTGCAATGGGACACCCTATGTCCTTGGTTCAGCATTTTGTTTTCCCCTTCCCCTTCCCAGATTAGACAAAATACATGGATTTCCAAATGCATTCTCCCTCCCTTCTTCTCTTCATTTGTCCACTGCTCCTCTCTATCCCAGTCCACCCCTTTTAAGTACACATTCCTGGTGTTTATTTTGTTAAACTATGATTTTTCCTTTCGAAGGAATTACACTGTGTGAGTTCTCCCCAAATCGACTGGATTTCAATGATTACATTTATGTATACTTGCATACCACCCAAGGTACTTACTTATATATTTATAAACCAACCCTAGCTTCCTTTATAAATATTGTAAGCATGCATCTTCTGAATCACTAAGACCCCTAGAAGTGATGTTAATCATGAACTGCACCTTGACAATACATTTAAATTTCAGAAGAGCCAGTCCTGTCTTTTGAAATCATGCAAAATGCACACGAGAAATAAATGGTTTGTATAACTGGGCTTTAAAGCATCTTAATTATTTTAACAAGTAACAAATGGATAATTTTATCAATCTAAATTTTAGATTCTAATAATGGTCAAAAATTGTAGTTTTAGAAGCTAAAAATAGAAGTAGAGGCAAGAGGATCATAAGTTCAAGTCCAACCAATGCTACATCACAAGCCACTTTTACACACACACATACACACACAGACACACACACAGACACACACTGACACACACACACTAAAAAGTCTTATCACTTATACGCTGCTTTTCTTCTGGCATATCTTTTGGTATGATCAAGAAATAAGCAAGTTAACTGGGTTCGGTGATTCATGTCTGAAATACCAGCACTAAAGAGGCTGAGTGAACGACTTCTTTGAAGCCAGGTTATACTACATTGTGAGATCTTATCTTAAAGAAACAAAAATATATATAAATAAGTTAGTGCAAGAAAAAAATCCATTAACCTGAAGAGCAATGGCCTATGGTATATTTAGTTTATATTAAAAAAATCTAACAATAAACCTCGACTGACAAATGGAAAGAACAGTGAATGGGGATAAATAACATCATAATACTCAGTGTTACATGTATGAAAATTGAAACAGGTAAACTGAGGGAATAATTGAGTTGATAGCGATGCAGGGGAGAGGTGACATTGATCAAGATGCATTATATTCATAATTTGACATGTGGTACAGAAACCCTTTTTTACATGTACTTAAAGATAATCACAAATAAGAAAAAAGCCTTCTTAACTTTAAAAACTGCCTGATTTCTGGGAGGCTCATAATTGTTAGAAAATGTTTTTTTTTACTTAATTTTATTTGGAGGTGATGTGCAGTTACATAGTGAGGTAATGAGTACATTTGTTGTCAAACACTGTTACTGTCTCCCTGTTTTTTCTTCCACTTTCCCTCCCCTACAATTTCCCTCTCCTCCCCCAGCCATTGTAAAGTTCATTTCCAGCATAGTGTCTTGTGAGTATCACTGTTGCATTGGTTCACCCTTTGTCCTTTGTCTCAACAGAATAGTTTTTAATGTTTGGACACAACCCACACATAAGTGGAATAAAATTTTTGAGATGTTAAATGGTATTTTCTATCTTTCTCCCCACTTTTACATATGATCTTACTACATTGCTCAGGCTATCCTTGAACTTGTGATCCATTTGCTTTTGCTTCCCATGTGTTGGGTATTACATGTGTATACCAACATGCTCAACTAATTTCCTGTTTTGGTTGTTTAGAAAACAAAAAATATTATGGCTGATCAGTTATTTGGGTTAGGAACTATATGATGCCTTGTCTTGCTGGTGTATTCATGTTGGTTCTTTCATTCAAATGTTGTTACTCTTGATCCAAATGGAAATTTAACTTTTGTTGGATCTTAACATCTTGATCTAAATGGAAATTTAACTTTTGTTGGATCTTAACATCGTAATGTCATTTTGTGAAAATTAATTGTATAGCCATATGTTTTATAGCACAAAATTCTATTAAAATGTAATACATAAAGTGATTTCATGTGCAATAAAATGGTCTCTTTTCTAGGCTATATTTTTGTAGCAATAATTCTCTTTTGTTTGTCTTTACATTCTTTTGTTCTTACACATGTCATTTTTTTTGTAATGGCCAATTGGTTATAAGTCTTCATTGCACAAAAATTTGTTTGCTCCAGCAACCTAAACATTCACACAGTCAGAAAAAACATGGATATTCTTAGGAGAGGATCACAAGGGCTCAATAGTTACATGCATAAGATCATTTAAAATGATGCTTACTGAAATGAACTCCAAGAAATGGAAGTATGAGTTTTTTTATTATGCTATTTGTGGTTCTTTTCTTCTTCTTCTTTCTTTATTTCTTTTGTTTATTCCCTTCTGTCACTGGTTTTTATTTTTGTACCCTTTGTCTTGCATATTAGTTTATCTGATTTGGGGAGAGGAAGGGGAAGCACCAAAACAGTGGGACAAAGGGTGAACCAATTCAGCAGTGAAACCCACTAGACACTATGTTGGAAACAAACTATACAACTTTAGGGAAAAGGAAGTTGGGAAGGGAAAACCTGGGAGGGGGTGACACTGTTCAAAAGGAAATGTACTCATTACCTGACACATGTAACTATAATCCCTCTGTACATCACCTTTGTGATAAAATGTTTGGTAATTGCTTTCAATTGAATGGAAATTGGCTTGCAATTGTTTCTCACAATTAAAAAGCCAATAATAAATGGCCATCAAAAGATTGTTATAATTATCTATACATATTCTGTTTTTTTCATAGACTATCATATTCTATAACATAAATATTGAATTCAGGGCCTGAATGTTGTCCTTGAGATTTTTTTTTTTTGCTCAAAGCTGATGCTCTACTAGTTGAGGTACATTTCCATTTCTGGCTTTTCACAAATACCTACTACAACAAATGGACTGAAATTTACAAAAAAAAAAGTTTTTATTAAAGAAGATTTCAGATGTGAAGGGTGATCATAACATAAATCATAGCATTTGTTTTTGGAGACATTTAAAACATCAAATCATTTAGCATGTTCTAATGTCTTACGATAAAATTTATGAATACAATGCACTAGCATATTCATAACATATATTTCACTAAGAATTAAGTGCAGACAATATAAAGTTGGGCAACAGTAGTTTCTGTGGACACTACTTCTTGTGTGTGTTGGGGGGTATCAAGGCTTGAACTCAGGGTCTTGTGTTCTGGCTCACAGATAATGATCTAGTACTTGAACCACACCTCCAAGCCTGCAGATACTTTTAAGTGATACAGTATAAAAATTTGTTCTCTGGGAGAGTTCTTCATAGTTAAATAAAAGTATGTGAGAAAAAATTTAGTTTCAGATTCAAGGTTCCTTGTGTATAAGTAATGTGAGGTTAGTATTAGGACAGAGTGAGTATCAACAAATGGCTAAGGGAGAGGAAGAGGGATTCAAATGCACTGACAAAGAAACCATTTTTCTCCTATAAATTTTCTTTTCTTATTATGTCAATGGTTCCCATGGAGCAAACTCAATCTAGTTAAGAAGCTATGGGGATTTCACGTTCTACTCTCAGTGGATTCATTATCTCAGAGTGCAAATTTTTTAGTGTATCAAATCCTCTAGTTTTCTCCTTGACACTATTTGAAGGAAATAGTACAAGTTAAAGATTAAAACTGTGCTTACCTAGTGATCCTTAGAGAAAGGGCTCATCTCACAGTTCATTTTAGCAAGACTGGCCATATGAGTTTTCACAGCTTTTCTAAATGCATCAATAGCACTGTTGTACTTTTTAAAAATTCAGTGAAGATGTTACCTTTGAGATAATAAATTTCCCTCAATTATTCCATTTGCACAAGCACAACTCTTAGTAAGAACAATAAATATTATTGTAATTTTATATTTTAAAATAAGTAGTTTTCCATTGAAGTGACAATGTAGTCTCTTTCTGTTAGTAGGATCAGGTAAAGGTCTTTAAGTTTGTATATAACAGATGAAATACTAAATGAATTCACAAACATCTACTTTGAAACAACTAAAGATTTTATGGATATAGAAGGGAAATGGGATATGTAATCTCTTTTAAGCACTGGTGATAAAAAAAGACTATTGTTTAATAAATTCCCTTGATTGTATTGGATGTATCTATTTATACATTTAGCTATTCATTTAACATTAAGTTGTTACTAAGTTTGTTATTAATGATTTACATATATGAATATATTAATGTAATAAATAGCTAAAAGATATGAAAAAAGAACATGTTGTTGATGCTTTCTGTCATGTCATGCAAATCCAAAGATGCATCTCAAATTCCATGACTTAGCTGGTAAGTTGTTAAAGACAATAATTTCTTGGCAGATTATTTTTTATGGTCCTATTCTAAATAGTCATATTGGTTTAACAGACACATACCTTTTAATGTAGTACATTCAGTTTACATTAACTCTGATTAGGAAGCATAGAATATTGTGCTCATTGTCCATTGCTAATTGTATACAATTTAATTATAGTTAAATGTATTTTATTTCAAAATGTGTAGTGTACTGGAAAATTGAATTTAAGACAGGTTTAACAAGAGAGAGATTTGCTTCCTACCTCAGTTCAATAGGTAAATTATTATATATTCTCACCATTTCCATAGAGAAGCCTGCCTTCAGGAACTTTCTCTGCTAACCCATTAGGGAGAAGAATAATGAATGACCTTAGTGAAAACAATGCCCAGGAGATCTTAGAAAAAGCATACAAAAACATACTCAGAGAGTGTTTGTTATTTTCTATTCTTGTCTTCCAGGCCCATGTGTATTTTTGGCACTAGTTATCAATTGATACACTGCAAGTTCTGTAAATAATTTAAAAACACTCCTCTATATATTGATGTCTCTTCACTCTTCTCTGGAAGTTTGAAAACTTCTCATGAATTCCTTTTCCTTGAGCAGTCTTTAGGAAAATAAGGTAAGCAAAGGTAAATGAATGCTTGGTTATTAAGGTTAGGCATTTACCTTCAAAATTGTGCTTCTGAAACATATTTTAGAGCACATTTAATATTTCACATACTAATTGGATTCAGTGGGACCATACAATATATAATGTTTTGATCTATCCAACCATCCTTTCTCACTTACTGCTTACCACTTCGAAGTTGCTCATAGCAACCAATCTACCTTTCATGTCAGTGGGTTGTAGTTTCCATGTGTGAGGGACAACATACAATACTTGTCTTTCTGTTTCTTAATTATTCTGTTTCTTATTCTTAAAGTTCCATAAATTTTGGGGCAAATAGCAAGATTTCACTTTTACCTATGTCAATGACATTTTGTACATATATTACATTTTCTTTATTCCTTCATCTGTTTATGGATTATATCCCTCATTTTCAATGAAAGTTAAACTGTATGTAAATTATAGTGCCTAATATGTATGTATATATATATATTGTTGCTGTTCCCACTGGGAGACCTGGGAACACAGTGTCTGGGAGGCAGAAAGGGACCATACCTTGCAGATATAGATAAAGTTTATTAAAACATCATACACTTATATAGGGCATAGGGGCACAGAAGGTGAGTGTGGTCACAGGACAATCACAGGACAGAAAGTTGACCTTAAACTGTTTTGGGGGAATGTGGACAATTAGCAACCTTTAATCAGTGAGCTGGAAGAATGTTCAAGATAATAAAAAGAGGAAGCAAGGTGCAGGTGGGGTTCCATTACAAAACAAGAAAAGAATCTTGAGGCAGTGTTCTACACGATTAACTAGGAGGAGCACGAATGGCACTTCCTGAAAACCATCGCCTGTGTCTGGTGCCAGGTGCAGGACCTTTGCCCCGATGCCTCCGATGTCTAATTTGTGTGTGTGTGTGTGTGTGTGTGTGTGTGTGTGTGCGCGCTTGCACGCAGGCGCACCTGTGTGTAGGCATATATGAAAGGCAAAGATTCTTTCAGCAGATTTTCTCCAAGTTTAGAAATGCCATCTATAATGGCTCTAGAATAAAAACTAGACAATCTCCCAGTTCCTAACAAGCTGAATTTAAAATATTTAAAATTTAATGTATTATATCTGACAGATACTAGATGCCTGAATGAAAATTGAAGCTTTCATTCAATTGTATGTACCCGTTTCATGATGTGAAGCCTGAACAAAATATAGCAATTTTAGGTTTGGATTCCATTTTGTCCGGGAACTGTGTCAGTAACTCCCCTTGAGCCCAAATTCCAGGAACAACCCCCTTCACGGAAAAATCCGCTAACCACAGCTAATCAGCAGATAACAGGCTAAGCAACACTCCGTCAGGGTTCAGATCATCTGCTCCAGCCAGTCATTTCGAAGAGCATCAACCCCATGAACCAGCCAATCCCCAGTACCTGGTCGGTTCCTGCACTGGCCATGCTAATCATCTTTTAGAATTATTTTATGATTTTCCCGCCGTGTGATATAGTTTGTTAAGTGCTGCAATGACGCATAGAGGTCCCTAAAAACTCTATAAAAACCTTGCTAGAGGAAGGGTCGGGGCTCTCAATTCTGACCCGCTGCCTCCGTGATAGTTGTGAGTCCAGGCTCGAGCTTGTAATAAAAAACTCTCATGTGCTTACATCAGAATCGGCTCTTTGGTGGTCTTTGGGGATCCTTATCTGAGCATAAGAATGAGTATTTTAATATATGACAAAAACTCATGGATTGACTTGTCTGTGAATTTCATCTACATGTTTTAGTGCCATAAAAATGTCTTCCATCTTACTGTATTTTGCTTTTATACACCTAACATTGTTATAGTAATAAAATATTTTATGATGAAATAAGTATAAAATACAATGAATTTTATAAAGACATTGTAAAAGCTATAAAATACAATAAATACAAAGTATGAATCAAATGTGATAAGAAAAACATAATAAGTAGGTATGAAACTTAAAATGGAGATATAAAGAAAAGGTCTACATCAATAGTGTCTGGCACTTAACATGGCTTCAAGCAACTGTGAATAAATAGGTTCATGTGTACTGAAATCATAATGTAAAAGCCCTGGAAGTAAATGATCCAAAAGCGAGATGGAATCAAGAGAAAAAGTAATGAAATATGAGCATGACATGGAATGAGGAGAGGTCTGTGGATGGAATCACAGAGCTTAAAGTTATTCAAGTGTCAGTTACATTCATGAGCTATATCTCTGGTATCATTAGGGAAATTCCAGACAAGTACAGATGCTCTAAGATAATATGATTACTCAATTAACTGGTCAAGCTTATCTTAATAATCTTCTCAGCTATGTGTTCTTTCATCTTGGACCGTTGACACTTCAGTAGTTTTGCTCTTCATATTTCCATAATGCCTTTGCTGCTCTTGAAAGTAAACCTTCTTAGTTCAATGCCCCATATCACATCTACTCTACCAGATGCCTAATGATAGAAACAAAAATGAAACCCAAACCAAAAAACAAAGAAAGCCAACTATCTTTAAATAGGCCTTTTCCTTGGATTTTTATACCAGTATGAATTTGTGAATCATTATTATAAGGTTTCCAAAATACAATCACTTTTACTTTTCATTGAATTTTTATCATAATTTGAGAATATGGTTATTTTCAGCCTTATAATTCAAAGAAAGAAATTTAGTTTCAGAAGAGGTAGGCTACTGCTAAAGAGATTAGTCTTTAATTTGTAGTGTCAAAAGGGTCTGGTGCCAGATATTGCATATTACTATATGTTTATTATTACCTTTAAATAGTACAACAAAGCGGTTGCCATTTAACTAAGCAGCTTATGACTACAACGCATCTTGATCATGTCACCCCTTTCAACATTTTCACCACCCTTCTACACACTCCTTCCCTTTTCTTAATTTTGTAGAATATACAATGAATTCTTGACTGCCTTCCCCACCATATCCCCACCTCCCCTTACCCTTATCTGTCTACTCCTCTCCCCATGGCTCCACTCCCATCTTTGCAAGTACCCATTTCCTGGTGCTTATTTTGTTGGGCTTTAACTTTGTCTTTCTCTGGAATTATAATATTTGAGCTCTACCATACTTCAGTTACTTATTTATATATGTCACAGTATAGTGTATTATGATCTTTTATGATTAGATGACTAATACACAACTATATTCATTATTACTTATAACTTTCCTTTTGGTCACTTCGTTACTATAGGTGGGACAAATTGGAGAGAATGATAGAAAATAATGAAAGCCACCCTGCAGAATTCTTTCTATTAGGCTTTGCTGATCATCCTTGGCTGGAATTTCCTCTATTCGTTATTCTTCTGATAACATACCCCTTGGCCATGATGGGAAACATCGCCATCATTCTGGTGTCCAGGTTAGATCCCCGGCTCCACAGCCCCATGTATTTCTTCCTCACCAACCTCTCCTTTCTGGACATGTGTTACACCACCAGCATTGTCCCTCAGATGCTGTTCAACCTGGGGAGCTCTAAAAAGACCATCAGCTACATGGGGTGCGTGGTTCAGCTTTATGTCTTCCACTTGATGGGGGGCACAGAATGTCTGCTCCTGGGTCTTATGTCTTTTGATCGCTACATGGCCATCTGCAGACCTCTGCACTACACCCTCATCATGAACCAGCGCCTCTGCATCCTGTTAGTGTGCACTGTGTGGCTGTGTGGCATTACCTATGCTGTGTCAGAGGCCACAGTTACACTACAGTTGCCATTTTGTGGCACCAATCAACTGGATCATTTGTTGTGTGAGATCCCAGTCCTGATCAAGACTGCCTGTGGTGAGAAGGAGGCCAATGAGCTCACCCTCTCTGTGGTATGCATTTTTATGCTAGCCGTTCCTCTATGCCTAATTCTTGCTTCCTATGCTAGTATTGGACATGCTGTGCTTAATATCAAATCTTCTGAGGGAAGAAAAAAAGCATTTGGGACATGCTCCTCTCATCTCATTGTCGTTTTGTTATTTTATGGTCCAGCCATTAGCATGTACCTTCAGCCTCCCTCCTCCATCACAAGGGAGCAGCCCAAGTTCATGGCTCTCTTCTATGGAGTGGTGACTCCTACCCTCAACCCCTTCATCTACACCCTGAGGAATAAGGATGTGAAGGGGGCGTTAATTAAGCTAGTGAGCACCATTTTGCATTCCAAGTAGACATTATTTGCGATTATTTACCAGAATAATTTTTGTTATAGTTCTTTAATAACTCATTCTTGTCTTATAATCAAATACATTTTTCTTTCAAATTGTCATAGTCATGTTTCCTAATTAGGGTTGGCAAGGTTTATTAGCATGTAACCATCTTCTGAATGCATATAGTATTTCAAATATTAAAACATAAATTCCATTCCTTTTGGTACATATTAAAATGGTATCTATATATTTAATAAAAATTCTGTAATATATCTCAAAAGTTCAGGCTAATCATTTTAAAATATCATGACATCAAAGCTATTCATTGGCTTCCTATCAGTCAACTGAGAAATTATACTTTCCCTGTAGGTGTTTAGTTTGTGACTATGTGGGTAGTTTGCTTAGTGAAGCATTCTATGCTTTAGAAGAATTGAGTTGAGTAATGCCAACACATATTGCTTATTTAGAATGCATTATAAATTATGTTTAGCAAATAAATAGGTACCACTTTCACATTTTAATTAAATATAACAAATATTAAAATGACTAGAAAGAAGAAAAATTGTATAGATGTATATTTAAATATTTCTTTAAAATATCGTTAAGTGTAAATGCATGCAATGTGAAAAAGAGAATCATATACTTAATAAATAAAACAACCTGGACATATTTCTGTATATGAATCTGAATAGTCAGAAATTCCTGTTTAATTTGTGTGAACTCAGTATAAAATAAAAATAGTTTTTATCATGGACTTTAAAAAGAATTTGATTTTTTATCAATAAATATTATAAATAGATAGTTTATTTATTGGGTTGGATCAGAGCCAGTGCCTGGTTCATGCTTTGTAAAAGTATTTTATAACAGCTACAACTCCAGTTCTTGTTTTGTTTTTAGTTTTGTTTTTCCACTAGTCTGGTCCTGAATTCAGGGCCTAGGCACTGTCCTTGAGCTTTTTTGCTTGAAATTAGCACACTACTACTTGAGCCACAATTCCATATTTTGTATCTATTTGGAGATAAGAGTCTCATGGACTTTCCTGCTCAGGCCGGCTTTGAATCATGATAATCATATCTTAGCTTTCTGAATAGCTAGGATTACAAGCAAAAGCCATAGGCACCCAAGCCTACCTGTTTGTTCATTTTATTTTGGAGAGTCTTATATAACTCAAGATAATCTGGAACTTGTGATTCTCCTGTTTCTTTATAGCAAAGGATGTATTTAAAAGCTAATGAAAAACAGCCTACATAATGGGAGATTATCTTTGCCAACAATACCTCAGACAGTGGCCTAGTATCTGGAATATACAAAGAGCTTAAGAAACTAAACTTTCAAAGAATCAACAACTCAATTAATAAATGTACAAACTAGCTAAATAGTTCTCAGAAGAAAAAGGAAAAATGCCCAGTAGACACATGAAGAAATGCTCAACAACTCTGGCCATAAAGGAAATGCAAGCCAAAGCAAATCTGAGAATCCATCTTACTGAGTAAGAATGGCCACCATGAAGAATAGAAACAATAACAGATGCTGGCAGAGATGTGGAGGAAAAGAAATCCTAATACACTGCTGATGGGAATGTAAGCTGGTACAACCACTGTGGAAAGCAGTTTGGACATTGCTCAAAAAACTTAATATGGAACTACCATATGATCCAGCAATACCAGTCTTTGGCAATAATCCAAAAGATTACAAGTCAAGATACAGTGAAGTCACTCACAATCATGTTTATTGTTGCCACTTCACCACAGCCAAGGTATGGAAAGAGCCCAGATGCCATTCAATCGACAAATAGATCAAGAAAATATGATTTCATATACATATATATATATATATACATATGAACTTTATCCATCCATTTGGAAAAAATATTACATCATTTACAAAGAAATGGAAATGGAGAGACCTGGACAAACTTATGTTAAGTAAGTCAGCTCAGAGAGATAAAATATGTATGCTTTCTCTCATATGTGGAAGTTAGATTTAGCTTATAAATATATAAGGAAACATAAACAGCCATACTCACATGAACACAAATACATTAACCAAACTATAGTATATACAGGGGAGAATTCAAATGGTGTAATGACTCAGGGAGACTTACAAACAGTCTAACACCAGGGATCTGGTGCTTTGTGTGTGTGTGTGTGTGTGTGTGTGTGTGTGTGTGTGTGTGTGTGAGAGAGAGAGAGAGATAGAGAGAGAGAGAGATAGAGAGACAGAGAGACAGAGAGAGACAGAGAGAGAGGGTGGGGAAGAGGGAGGGAAAGAGAGAATTCAAGGGGAAATAGGTAGCCAAATGAAGAGAGGAAGTGAGGAGAATGCAAAATATTTAATGAATATCTTAGACTAAGAAAATTGAGGGGCTGAGTGGGGTTGCAGGGAGGGGGAAATGTTGAAAAGAGTGATATTTATCAAGATGACTTGTACACATAAACTGTCATGTTGTATTGAAACTCCTTTGTACAACTTCTTAAAGATAATAAAAATACACATAAAAATGTCAATTTGTGTGCCTGTGGGTTCCCTTCTGAAAAAAGCTTTTTTCTTTTCTTTTATTTATTGCACCATCTTCCACTCCTATTTTGCTTAATGCTCTATATTAAAATTTTCCCCATAGAGCTAATATTGCCAGATTTCCTGAAACTATGTAATGGAGCCCTATCACGTCTTTCTAAAACACCTACATCTGCCTGAAGTCACATGTCTGAGATTCTGTTTCAGATTCATGAGAATTCAAGAATCTTTTATTTAATCCTGATACCAACCTAAATGAAAATAAAGGTGTTCAGACCTTGCAATAAATTCTTTTTTTTTTTTTTACTATTATGATTAGTTTTTTTTTTATTGTGAAAATACTATACAAAGGGGTTACAATTACATGGGCTATGTAATGAGTGCATTTCTTATCAAGGATTGTTGCCTCCTCCTCCTTTGTTTCCCATTCCCATCCCTTCCCATCTCCCCCCTCTCCCCCTCGCCACCGCCAAAGTTGTAAAGTTCATCTTTTCTTTTCTCTTTTTTATTGTGAGAATATTGTACAGAGGAGTTGCAATTACATGGGCAAGATAACGAGTACATTTCTTTTTGTGTGTGTGTGTGTGTGTGTGTTTAATTTAATTTTATTTTATTTGAGAACATACTGTACAGAGGGGTTACAATTACATGGGCAGGATAATGCATACATTTCTTACCAAGCATTGCAGCCTCCTCCTTTGTTTACCCTTCACCTCCCTTCCCAGCCTCCTCCTCCCCCCCACCCAATCGTACCCCCCCCACCGACATTGTAAAGCTGGTTTTGACATGAACGAGTACATTTCTTATCAAGCATTGTTACGTCCTCTTTGTTTCCGCTTCCCATCCCTTCCCATACTCCCCCCCCTACGCCCACCTGATCCTCCCCCCACCCCCCATCAAAGTTGTACAGTTCGTTTTTCAACATAACGACTTGTACATCTCATTGTTGCAGTGGGTCCACCTGTATCCCTATTTAAACGGTTTGTTTTTTCCCTTCCCCTCCACAAATTATACCAACATCAAATAAAATGAAAGCAGGGGTTATACCGTGGGGGAGGGACATACAAAGCACCAAAGAAATCATCATATATTAGAAAAATGTTAGAAAATATGTTAGAAAAAAATCTCATGAAAGAAAAAAAACATTTGAATACTTATCTTGGGGTTCATTTCACATAACATCAACTTATCTGACCTTTTCTGCTTGTCTCAGACATATACTAGTTATTCCAAATAAGGGAAACCATGGGACCTATGTTTCTTTGGGCCTGGCTTCCTTCACTTAGTATAATTTTTTCTAAGTCTTTCCATTTCCTAACAAATGGGGCAATGTCCTTTTTTCTGATGGAGGCATAGAATTCCATTGTGTATATATACCATGTTTTCTTGATCCATTCATCTACTGAGGGGCATCTGGGTTGGTTCCATATCTTAGTTATGGTAAATAATGCTGCAATAAACATAGTTGTGCTGGTAGCTTTAGTATGGTCTTGTTTGTGATCATTTGGGTAAATGCCCAAAAGTGGGATTGCTGGGTCATAGGGAACTTCTATGTGGAGTCTTTTGAAGAACCTCCATACTACTTTCCAAAGTGGTTGAACATTCCCATCAACAATGCAGTAGAGTTCCCTTCTGTCCAGATCCCCTCCAGCATCTGTTGTTATTAGAGTTTGCAATAAATTCTTAACTAATTAAGTGACTTATCACTATTCACTGAAGTTCATTTTATGTGTATAACTTTGGAAGCATAATGACTGCTACCAAATATGCACATAAATAACAGAGAACTTAGTTTAAACATATTTTGATGACAATATAAAAATAAAAATAAAACAATGGCCACTTTTTATAGTAGAATACTTGGACAATATTCATCTATGTTTCTATCTATTGTAATTTTTTGTGTATGCCTGTCTGAGTTCTTGAACTCAAGGCTTGTGTGCTGTCCTCCCACTTTTTTGCTCAAGGCTAGTGATTTACCACTTGAACCACAACTGCACTTCTGGCTTTTTGGTGGTTAATTGGACATAAAAGTTTCATGGAATTTTCTTCCTGAGCTGGCCTCAGACCATGATCCTCAGATCTCAGCCTTTTGAATAGCTAGGATTATAGGAATGAGCCACCAGCTCCCTTTCTTGAAATAACACCTGACATGTATTAATTACCTTGTGTTTTGTGTAATGTTTTCCTACCAAATTTCCATTTCTCAGTGGCTTTTGGAACACATTCAAAGCAGTAGAATTCTAAGAATCATAATTTGGTAAACACTGGATCAAAATATGCCTTTATTTGAGTCATCCCTCAGAGACAGGATACACTTCCTGCCTTGTGGGTATTGTTGGGTCATGCAGCCCAGACAACGTTTTAATGTGGAGGAAGCCATTGTTAAAATGTTTTAATTTCTACCTTAAGCATTCTAAATATATATCTGCATCATGTCTATTTTTTAATTGCTAAATATGCTTTACTGTTTCCAATTTGCTCTTTAGGAAATACTTGCTTGGGAAAAGGAGAAAAGCTGTAAACCACCTCCTTGGAAAAGGCAGAGCCAGGACTACCATGCTTTATTTCAAAGTAAAGCACACTGTCACTTTCAGCTACCTATGTGCCTTTCCTTCATAGAGCTTCTTAAAAGCGAACTATAGTAAGTTTCATGGTAGAATACACTGACCTTACAGACTCTGGAAACGGAAGATGGTTTAGTAAAAATAAGACATTTTAGTAGCAGGTGTTTACTACCTCTGATGTCAATGTGTGTTGCACTGAGATTTTTCTATATATTCTTTTAAAGTTATTTTTCATAGGGCCTGGGTTTTTCTCACATCTGTAAGATGAGTAAATTTTATAAGGCTAGAAAGGAACATACTCCCCAAGGAGCTCAGGATACAGGATCAGTTAAGAATGCAGACAGAAAAACTGTAACCAGTCTGCATGGCCTTACTTTTAGTACATATCTTGTGCATTTTGCCTTGCAGACTAAAAATACTTCGCTTTTCACCTTGAAAGACTAATGTAGACAAAAGATACATTAACTAATGAAAATAATACATCACATCATTTAACATCTCAAAAATTCTATTTCATATACATTTGTTGTATCCACAATTTAAAAATGTTTTCTAATAATTAGCCACATATCATCCAGAAACCAGTTAGATTCAAGGTTTTTTAGAGTCTTTTCCCAACTAACCATACAATTATAACCCAACATTCTTGACAATAGGACAAGCAGTTTTTAGAGAGAAGATCTGGTTTGCAGTTCATGATAACGTAGAACTTTTCTTCCAATGGTTTGATTACAGCTTGATCATAAGAAGAGTCATGTCAGATAAGTCCAACTAATCTGCTTTTATTTTGGAATTGATTTCTCTCACTGTCCAACATCATGTTGAAATCTTAATATATATATTCAACTTCAATTTGAATTAATTGTGAAGTTCCTAAGTTGGTCTCATAACTATGTACACATTTTGTGATGACCTACTTTTAGCATAATTTTGTTCAGGTCTATACATTTCCTTGCAAATGAAATAATATCACTGAAGATCATCTGGGATGTTTCCATAATGAAAATGCAGCAATGAACATGGGTGTGCAAATGTCTTTATCCTTACTTGTGATCTTTCGAACATATGCCCCAAAATGGTATCATTGAATTATAGGGCAGATCTAAAGGTTTTCTGAGGAATGCCCAAATGGTTTTCCAAAGTAATTGCACCAGTTTACATTTCCACCAACATTACATTAAGGTTTCTTTCCCCTCACACCCTGCCAGCATTGATTGTTGTTTGTATTCTTGATGATGGCCATTCTTAGTGGTGTGAGATAATTCCAAGGATTGCACTCACAAACTGATGTTGAATGGAAACATTTTTTGTACAACTACTTAAAGATATTAAAAATTATATAAAGATTTGTGATGATATACAAAATCTGAGTATGTCTTTATCCATGTATTCTTCTATATAACAAAATACTGAATAGTGGGTAATGTATACACAATATCAATTCATGACTCACAGCCTGCATTCAGAGAGCCCAAGTAAGAGTTGCTACAATGACTTTATTGCCTCTTAAAGGTTTCTCTATAATTCACATATTTTGGAAGAGATACATTAAAAAAGCAGAGTGTCAGAGCTAGAAATAAGTCTTAGCATTTTACCTAATGAATATAATAGCATTATTAACACATTTTTGAGTATTATTTGTATCCAAACAAATTTTTTTAAAACGCACTCAACTTCCTGAAGTAATCAAGTTGCTTTTCATTCTAGAAATATAGCTTCTTTATACATTAACTATTTCATGTATTTAAAAAGCACATCAAATTTCTTCCAATTTGTGCAAGGAAATGGTGCCAGGATTCAAATCATTTTAACGTTTCTGTATGTTCTCATTGATTCAAAGACTTATGCTTATGGTATATGAAAGAATGTTAAGAAACTTATGTGCACAGGGTATCTTCTATTATTAATATTTAATGATGTAAAGTTAAAATAAAAATACAGAAATAGCACATAATGTTTGGTAATTAATTACAATGTATTTAATTTTTATTGTTATTATAAAAGTAATGTACAGAGGGGTTACAGTTGCATAAGTCAGGTAACAAGTATATTTCTTATTTATTTACTTATTTATCTTTCTTTTATTGTCAAGGTGATTGCATGGTTCATTTTTAACAGTGTCTCATGAGAACCAATACAACACATTTTTAAAGAAGCAATGGTATATATATAATGGTATCTGCTATGTGTATTAATAGCTGAGGTCAATAAACATATAAGACTCAAAATTATTTGCAAGATTAGAGTACTTCATACAGAATGCCAGTTTGTAGCTATGATACATTTATTGACTTGGGCTAAACTTGCAGAGACACAGAATGTTCCTCTGGCAAATCTGACAGGATCTTATAATGATGACCATATGCCATGCTATTTTTACAATGGTTAGCTGGAAGTAATTCATTTGCATTATAATTCATATTACAAAGTTTTAATTACTTAACAGCTACAATTTCACTGGGTAAGAACCAGAATGGACAAATGAATATATTTTCACAAGACAATACTCACCCTAATCCATTTTAGCTAGTCCTTTCCAAACATCATACTGAGGATGAAATATGAAATATTCTGAAACAACAACCCACATGAGATCTATGAGACAAGAATGAGTTAATGGAGAATCCTACATATAAGCCTGCTATAATTCTTAAATTGTATCATCTGATGTCTACAAATATCACTTAGAACGGAAAATTATTCTCACTAACTTTCCTAATGCCATCTTGACATCTTTATTCCTCAGGGTGTAGATGAAGGGGTTGAGGGTAGGAGTCACCACTCCATAGAAGAGAGCCATGAACTTAGGCTGGTCCCTTGTGATGGACGATGGGGGTTGAAGGTACATGCTAATGGCTGGGCCATAAAATAACAAAACAACAATGAGATGAGAGGAGCATGTCCCAAAGGCCTTTTTCCTTCCTTTAGAAGAATTAATCTTCAGTATAGCATGTCCAATACTAGCATAGGAAGAAAGAACCAAACACAGAGGAACAGCTAATACAAAAATGCACGCCACAGAGAGTGCGAGCTCATTCGCCTCCTTTTCGCCGCAGGCAATCTTGATCAGAACTGGAATCTCACACACCAAGTGGTCCAGTTTATTGGTGCCACACATTGGCAACTGGAGTGTAATGGAAGCTTCAGAAATTGCGTAGATAATTCCAGTCAGCCACACAATGGACATCAACAGGATGCAGAGGCGCTGGTTCATGATGAGGGTGTAGCGCAGAGGTTTGCAGATGGCCACGTAGCGGTCAATAGACATAATGGCCAAAAGCAGACACTCAGTGCCTCCCATTATGCTGTAGAAATAAAGCTGAACCACACACCGAGTATAGCTTATTGTCTTTGTAGAACTTCTCAGGTTAACCAGCATCTGAGGGACAATGCTGGTGGTGTAACACATGTCCAGAAAGGAGAGGTTGGTGAGGAAGAAATACATGGGGCTGTGGAGCCGGGGATCTAACCTGGACACCAGGATGATGATGATGTTTCCCAGCATAGCTATGGGGTATGTTATCAGAAGAATAACAAAGAGAGGAAGCTCCAGCCAAGGTCTGTCAGCAAATCCTAGTAGAATGAACTCTTCAGGATGGCTTTCATTCATGAGTGTCATTGCCTTTAGTTTATTTCACAAACAGTATGGTGGGATCAGAAAAAGTAGATGATTTTGGAGAATGCTAAAGTGCAATTGCACCTTGACTAGCAGATATAAACTATTAGGTGTGGTAAGAGATATGATATAAATGGTCAGTGATCTGGTGACTCTGTTTTTGTTATCGTCAGTCACCTGGTGACTCTGTTTTTGTTATATTTAAAGCTCATGTTTCATTTTAGCCAAATTAAACTCTTTGATATGTAGTGTTAATTGTAAATACCTTTAAAGTTGATTTAAGTAAGAGGCTTGGTAAGAGATTAATCACAAAGATAAGACTAGTTGTTTCTAAAGCCACTGAAGAATTACCACAGTTTAGCAGAAGCTATGTGAAGTACAATGCTTAGCATCTCTTGTATATGTATCATATACAATGATCTTTACCCATCCCTGCCCTTCCTGAGAATGCATAGCCTTTAACCATAAGTGTATTTTTAGTTTTCCTATTTTTGTAAATATTATATAGTAAAAAGGAATTACTTACAGAAAAAGACTTTTTCTTTACAGGTGCATATTTAACAGCAACCTGCAGAACTCCTAGTTTTCCAGTTGATGCAGGGTACCAAAGAGGAAAAAGCATGAACTAGGAAGATTACTAGAAAATGACACACTGCTTTGTGGCCATGCTATTTGTACACTCTTGCTGAGAACTCCTGGGTTTTGTTTTCACACAGACCACTCATTTATCCTCCTCCCAAATGATTTGGCAAAGACAGTTCTTTGGGACATAATTCATTGTGGAAATACTTCTTGTCTACAAGTTTTTACCTAATTGAATTGAGACGAAAGCAAGTCTCTCATTAAATGTTTTCAGTTTCTCAACCTCTGGATACTAATTTAAACAGCGCAACATTTTCACTTGGTATACATGGGGAATTGTAGTCATTCTGACCTATGTGTGATGCCTGCTTGTTTATCAAACGTTTTATTCTGTGGAGAATTTCTTTTCTAAGTATTTTTTGACTATATGTCAATATTTTAGAAAGTGTACTCTGGGCCCTTGCCAGCTTTTAATTATATTTTAACAATTGTTATTGAGTTGGTTTTATCGTTTATGTATTTTCTATATTAATGGATTATCAAGTGAGTACTATGTTGGGTTTATTTTGTCATTATGACAAATTACTTGGTATGAAAACTTTAAAAACAAGAAAGATTTATTTTGCCTGGTGGTTTCAGGCTACCAAGGTAGAAAGTATGGGATACAGCTGAGCATACCACATCATGGAAGTCTTGGAGGAGAACGAAGAAATATTATCCTTTTACCTCCATTATTACATTGGGCCTCCAATTTATACAGTTGTGACATCCACATGCAGAGAGGGTCCATTACTTAAACCTTTCTGGAAACACCCTCACAGACATACCGAAACACCTGTTTTACTAATCGAGGTACTTCTCAATCTAATCAAATTGACAATCAAGGTTAATCATCATGAATCTATCTTTTGTGAACTTGACGCCAAATCACATCTCCTTAAGTCATAACATTTTGCTCATGGTTTCCAAAAGGATCACACTCATAATGCAAAGTGCATTCAGTTCATCTGTTACTTTCTAGGTTCTTTGTTGTATATTTTGTTTCCCTGTAATAGTGCCAAGTATCTCTTCCTCAGCATCTTTCTGGAATTCATTTTGATAGACATCATTTTATATGATTTTGTATGATCAAATGCACATAGTTATTGAGCCTTTGTGATCCTCTCCTAAGAATGCCCTCCTTTGGTGTCATTATGTGAATGTCTAGAGACCTGTATAATTTATCATGTCCAAGTATAATTTTTTGTCTTTTACTATCCAGTGTACTTACTTTAAATTTATGTGCAAATTCTGGTTGCCTTAAATGAGGGAGACCATGCAGTCTATGTTTCTTTGGGTCTGACTTACTTTGCTTAATACAATCTTTTCCAAGTTTTTCCATTTCCTTAGGAATGGTACAATATCACTTTTTTTGATGGAAGAGTAGAACTCCATTGAATATATATATATACCATATTTTCCTGATCCATTTTAATGTCATTATATCATTAAAATCTCTTCAGAAACCATATTTTCATAACACTCAAGTGGGTTGATACAGTAGTTTTCAAAGAATATATCTGTTTTTCTGTCCTTGGTTATAGGATTTTTCTTTCAACTTTGGTTCAAATAATGATCATACCATAGGCATTTAGAAAACAAATATTTTACTTTTAAAAATAAAGGTCTATGTTTTCACGATGTGCATTCATGATCATACATACATTTGTGGCTTTGGTTTCATAAAAAAGAACTGAGTTCAATGCAAACTTTAAAGTTTTAGGTGTAATTCTGCAGTGAATTTTCATAACTTATTTGTTATGATAAAACCTGTGTTCATATAAGGTGCCTATATTTCTTATGGCTGTAACTTGGTCACTTCTATTCCACAACATCAATGTTTTACTTTCTTATATTGATTCTTTCCCAGTTTCAAGAGAAATCTGTGGCTGTTCCAATTTTCATAGAGAAATTTTCCAAGTTATGCACTATTAGTACCATTTCATTGCTTTCTCATTCCTTTGCAAGAATCAAGTTTGTGATGTTAAAAGAAACTTAAAATTTAATCTTAGTTGTTGTATCCATAGTCTAATCATTGTATTTATTTTTCATTTTGTTTTGTTGTATGAGGATTGAATCTGGATCACTGTGAGTGTTCAGGAAGGTGATCAATCCATCACTGACCTACATCCCTACTTCTCATTCCATTCACTTGAATATTTAAAATGTTCTTTAGTTAAGCATACAACATATTTGACACCAACCAACTAATAATAACAATGATTTTTTCTGAGTTCAGATTCTTTTCTAAAGTATATTTTAATTAGCATTAAGTAGTTGTACAAACATGTTCTCAGTGAACAAAAAGTTTATGAATACGATACAATGTCACCACTTTCATCAATGAAAAGAACAGCATCTACCTGAATAGCTGAGATTGATCAGCTCATAACAGCACTATGAACATAGAACATTTCACACTGAACAAAAAATAAAGGCATCTTGTCCACACATTGGCCAAATACCAAAGGACGCTGCAATATTTCTAAGACAACACTGATAGGAAATCCATTTGTTCTGTTTTATGTGGTACAGTTTTTTGATGACTACCTTCAGCTAACAAATTCATATTTACTATTTTCTTCTATTATGTAACACAGTTACTAGTTCAATTTATATATATCAACCAGGGCAGTCATTTGTTTTTGTATTTTCACCAATGTAGTTTGTAAATTGGTGCTAATTAGTTGAATCTCATCCATACTCAATCAGATTATAAAAATATCAGAAATAAGACAATTTGGCAAGGGAAAATATGTAACATTGGATTAGATTATGAAACAAGAATGAGTTATCATATAAACTTGCTATAATTGTGTAATAACTTAATTTGATATAAATAAATATTCACTTGAACTTGAACACACTCTTCAATAGCTTGCCTAATGCTCCCTTCACATCCTTATTCCTCAGAGTGTAGATGAAGGGGTTGAGGGTAGGAGTCATCACTGCATAGAAGAGAGCCATGAACTTAGGCTGGTCCCTTGTGATGGAGGAGGGGGGCTGAATGTACATGCTAATGGCTGGGCCATAAAATAAAGAAACTACAATGAGATGAGAGGAACATGTCCCAAAAGCCTTTTTCCTTCCTTCAGAAGATTTCATCTTCACTACAGCACGTCCAATACTAGCGTAAGAAGCCAGAATCAAGCATAAAGGAACAGCTAATATAAAAATACATACAACAGACAGTGCGAGCTCATTGACCTCCTTTTCACCACAGGCAGTCTTGATCAGAACTGGAATCTCACACAACAAGTGATCCAACGTGTTAATACCACACAGGGGCAACTGCAATGTAAGAGTGGCTTCTGAGAAAGCAAAGATCACTCCTGTCAGCCACATAATGGACACTAATAGGATGCAGAGGCGCTGGTTCATGATGAGGGAGTAGTGTAGAGGTCTGCAAATGGCCACATAGCGGTCAAAGGACATAATAGCCAAGAGCAAACATTCTGTGCCCCCCATTATATGAAAGACATACAGCTGAATGATGCACCCAGTGTAGCTGATGGTCTTCTTAGTAGTTCCCAGGTTAAAGAGCATCTGAGGGACGATGCTGGTGGTGTAGCACATGTCCAAAAAGGAGAGGTTGGTGAGAAAGAAATACATGGGGCTGTGGAGTCTGGGATCTACCTTGGATACCACTATAATGGCGATGTTTCCCATCATGGCCATGGGGTATATGATCAGAAGAATAACAAATAGAGGAAGCTCCAGCCAAGGATGGTTAGCAAAGCCAAGTAGAATGAACTCCTCAGGGTGGCTTTCATTACTTAGTGACATTCTTTTAATTTCTTTTACCTAAGAAAGACAAGGGAGGAATGAGAAACCATATGATACATTGAGTGTCAATCTAGAATACATTTTGCATGAACTCTTGGGAAAAGAATCCAAAAATCTAGCACCAGAGATCAAATTCCCATTCATAACATTAAAATGAAAAATTCTTGTCTGGCACCTGTGGCTTACATTTGTAATCCTTGCTGCTCAGGGGGCTAAGATATGAGGATTGTGATTTGAAGCCAGACATAGAAAAGTCTGTGAAACTCCAATTATCCTCTGGAAAAACTAGAAGTGGAGCTATGGCTCAAAGTACTAGCCTTGAGCAAAAAAAGCAAGCAAGCAAGCTCAGGAACAGCACCCAGGCCCTGAGTTCAAAGGCCATGGTCAACAAAAAGCAAACACACACACAAACAAACTTATGTTGCTAGCACTGGTGGTTCATGCCTGTAACCCTAGCTACTGAAATGTGAGGATCATGGTTTAGAGCCAGCCTAGGTAGGAAAGCTTATGGGATTCTTATCTCCAATTAATTACTAAAAAGCCAAAAGTAGAGCTACAATGCTCAAATGGTAGAAGGATAGCCTTGAGAAAGAACA